TATCTGGTTTGAGAAAACTATTTAGGAAGTGGAAAAAGTGAGAAGACAGAATTCCTCCAGGGCAGGGACCAAACCTTATTGGCATGTAATCATCACTTAACATTTGCTGAATTAATATACTGTGGAATATAAAGCACTTTCAAGATGAGACATACCTACAAAACATACCTAAAAAAAAACGCTTAGGAGAACATGAGTACTTTGGATTCCCTCAAAGCCAGGGATGGTGAAAAGAGTTCCAGGAAGTAGAAGTATGATAGCAAAAGACTTAAATAAACAAATGAAGTACCAAAGAGGAAGGAAATTTTGTTCTTTAGTACAGGTTTTACATCCAGCAAAGGAAAAAGAAAATCTCTTATAGAACTACATAGTAGTCCATTTCAGGTACAAAAAAGTTTGTAAGCTATTCTTGGTTAGAAATTCGAACCATTTCTTTAAAAAATATACGTTGAGCTCCAAATGTATAAATCCAACTTCAAATCAAAATTATGGAATGTAATTCATTCTTAAATATTAGACTCACTATTTTCATTTGTAAACATTTATTAAGTGGCTAATATGTGACAGCCAACAACTTATTGGGTGCTTACTATGTATCAAACAATACATTAGGTACTTAACAAGGGTTATCCCATTTAAACCTAGCAACCTTATAAAGTAGGCATTATTTTCATTTTATAGACAGGGAAAGTGAGGCTTAAAAATGTTATATAAAGAAGTTACACAGCTAATAAATGGTAAAATTAAGATATATTAAGTGACAGTTGTATTATTGGTGGCTGCAGACCCGAATATTTTGTTCCATTCCAGTATCTGTTGATGTTTTTCTCAGAAACTAAACTTTGCATGTCTTTCTAAATGAAGTAATTCATCTACTTCTGAATCTGCACAACATAATCATATTGAATAATTTTATCAAAAAGAAAATTCAGCCCCTTCTCAGCTTTAAAGATAAGTTAGAGGCCAATTAAATGTAGTTATGCTTTTATAACAATGTCACTGCTACTGGCATTTTTAACAGGCTATATATTAATTATGCAAAGTACCTAGTAACCTGTACTTTTATTAACTTTATTTACATGCCACATAAATTTTTTATATTGTGAAAAACCTTTCCACCTTTTATGGGACGCTTAATTTTGTCACTAGTTAAGAAAATGCAGCCTTAAACTGTATTTCAGAACAAAAAGTCTGCTTCTAGCACAAACAGAAGAGACTGATACAGAAATAATTGTTACCAAATGTTAAAAGAACATCCCAATTGAAAGTAATTGTTTCTAGCCCCTCCACACAGCATTTAAATTCATGTGGATTTTTTAAAAAGGTATGAAACACTTTAATGATATTAAATATCAATTTTTATCATTAAAATTAAAATATTTTAATCCAATATAACGGAATGAATAGAGGTTTGTATCTTTTACACTTACATTTTTAGAATTTGAAATCTTGAAGAATATAAAAAAATAATCCAGCCATGAACAAGTACAGAAACCTAAAGGCAGACGAACATACGTTGGCACTCTGCTTAATGGAACAATCTCAATTTTATGCAAGACTTAACTACAGAATTGACACTTTTTAGAAGAGATGCATTCATATATGATCCTGAACTGAATAGCAGCCCTTACCTTATACATAGAAAAAAGCTCCTAATTTCTAAAAGGTTAAATCAGTATGAGTACAATTATTACAACAGACTACTGATAACCAAAAAGATATACAGAGGAGAAATAAAATGATTTTACTATACAGAGCAGTCAAATGAAAAACAAAGAATTTATTAATTTGAATAACAGATTAATCTCAAATCTAATTTCAATGCCAACAGTTGGCCCCCTAGATAACTTCTGGATTTACTAAGTATTCATATCTACTAAGTACCAGCAAATTCTTAAAATAAATTACACTTTTTATGGTTAGTTAAGAGTATTCAGTCCTAGTATTCTGTAAGTAATCAGTTTCTTTCTTACTACTGGGATGGCATCACAGCATGGGACCAAATATCATGTATATACCTTGATGTAAAGAAAACTTGTTTTATATTAACATGGTCAGTTAACTGCCACATCTACAGTTCTCCCAAAATATATATTACAGAAAATACAATAATTATTTTCTATTCAATTCACTGATACTTTTGGTCCTGTATATTGCTGTATTTCTTTAAAACCTCTCAGTTTAAATCTGTTTGAGAAACTATCCTTTAATTTGGAAGGAAATTTAGTTACTGTCAAGATAATCCTAGACTATACAAAGCCTTTAAACCCAATTGATTCTTAGAAATTCTTCCATCTATAAAACATGAGAATTATAACCAAATTAACAAATCAGGTATCAGAATGCCAAAAATTAAGTCACTAAGAGGGAATTCAGAGAATCAGTTGTGAAAGAACAGGAAGTGATGTACACTGCCATTTTGTAGATAACTAGAAACCCAAGAGGTACCATATAATCTGGAATCAATTAACTCAGACTAACAGCTCTTAGTTTCTCTTTCTGACAGGGGCATCAGAACTCACCTGCAATAACCCGCAGACAGTTTTTCCTTAATAATGAATTTATCTAATTGGTCATGAACATAGTTTTACCACCTTTAACCGAATTCCTACCAACTACTGAAAAGGGTTTCTTCATAGTTGTTCTAAAGAGTACCTCTTAGTTCTAGTATGCTGATATATAGCAAGTAGTTTACCTATATCCAGTGTACATCCTTAAGTTTTGTAGCCCTTATTGATAAATCCCCTCTGCCTTCACCTTTCGAAGACAAAAACAGTCACTTTTTACTGAGCAGTATGCTTGGGTTTATACATGCTAGTATATATGAATTAATTACCAACAAGCCATAACACAGGAATTAGACTTTACCTCACAATTTGCCAAAGAGGGGAAAACTACACACCACAACATGCAGCTTTGTGCCATGAAATAAAGATTCAAATGAGAAGTGCTGTTTAAGTTAAAATGAGTTCAGATAAAAATCAAAAGAGAATAAAGTAAGGAGAATTCCATTTGCTGAGGAAAAACAATAAAAACTGATTTAACATACCATTAATGTGTCTCCCTATATTAAAATCATGAAATAAGATGACAGAAACTAAATTAATGCTTAACACCACTACTACTAACATCTTTAAATACCTGTCTTAAAACAGGTTTCAAAATACAACAAACACCAAAAAAGCTCTGATGGACAATGTAATATGCAGATGGCATTTGGAAGTATTTAAGAACAAGTCACCCACTAAGTAAAGCTTAAACACCAAATACAACTTGCTAGTAAAACGTCAAGACAAGATCTCTGTAGTTAGTTTAGTCACCTTCATCACTTTGTATAAAAGTTATTTAATTATATGAATATTCATGTACGGAACATTTTGAAATCACTTCATCAGTAACTCTAAATACTTAAAGAAAAAAGTATCAACTGTAGATTTCAAGACTACTCTTTGGTCACAAGAACTTGGCAGCACACTTCCAGAATGTTAATTTTTTTTAAATTTATTTCTACTCTACTAAACAAAACCAACAAGTACTACTGTAAACCAGATGATTTGTTTTAAACAAATATGACATGAAGCAAAAGAAGTGGAAAAACGACTTACTGACTACAGAATACAGATCCTATCACAATATCATTAGGCAAATTAATCTTTATTAATTTTTATTACATTAAGAAACAAGGCATTTTCAACAGAAAGGTTTGTAACCTAATCATTTTCGGAAAATTCCGATTTCAATGTATACAAAAGTATTAACCCTAAAAATTCACAGCTCAGGGAGAAGGAATGTCCATCAGACAGCCTGTCTGTATACAATAATCTTTAATAATTCTTCAAGAACTACAAAAGTCATAGGAAGAAAAAAAAGAGGGAAATGAGGGAGTACAAAATTATTTTATTTTAATCCTAACGAAAACCCAATATGCTCACACACAAAAAAAGTCAACCCAGTGTTTTGAAAAGAGAGAGACATCAAAACTGTTCTAACATGGCAGGGTCTCTCTTGAGAGGCCGTAGCCCCCCAACAGTAACAGACATACTTCCCAGGGACAGATCTCAGGGGAGGAGTATTAAACCAGTACCGTTATCGATTTAAAACCAAAGGAAAAGGGGTAACCTTTCTAAGGGAAGCGCCATTACTTCCCTCTCTTGCTCCCCCTCCCTTCAGTGTATACACGGGCCTGTGTATGAAGAAACTGCCTTGGACTTCTGCAGCACTGCAGTAGACTAAAGAATGGGGAAGGGTTGAGGGAAAGAAACGCTTCCATCACCCCTAGAGAAGAGGGGTACAGATTTCCCGAGCAAGGAGGGAGGGTGGGAATCCACCCAGTAGACTAGCCAGAGCGGTCTCCCTTCCCAAGAATTCACAGACACTACAAAGGAGGAGAGGGAGGAGCAGAGGAATCAGAAGGGAAAGGGACCTCGCGCCTTTAAATCGGGGTGCACATCAACCCAGTCTCCCTAGGAGGGCCACACCTTCCTCGAGACATCCTCTTCTACCACCCCTTCCGGTAACCCTCAGGAAAGAGAAATGTAATTGCTCTTGCCCCTCAAAACGGGAGGGCGCCCAGCTCACCAGCTTCTTCACCCCACCCACAGAATCACAGACCCTCCTTGTCTCCCTCCCCCACCCCACCCCCCCACATCCCTTCTTCCGCGCAGCGGCCAAAGTGGGCCGAATTTCCCCGCCCCCTCCATGTCTCCCTTTCCCAAGGCAGAGGTGCCCTTACCCTTTCGCCGACAGGTCTGGGGCGGAGTAGGCAGCCACAGCCCCCTGCAGCGCTTGGGGAGCCGCTACGCTGGAGGGCGAGGAGTGAGGAGGAGGAGGGGGCCAGGCGACAGACCGCCGCCCCCCCCCCCGGAGCCCCAGCAAGCCGCCCAGCCCAAGCTCTGCGCCAAGGGGCGGGGGGGGGGGGGGGGCCGGCCCCCCCCCCCCCCCCCCCCCCCGGGCCCCCGGCCACCCCCCCCCCCCAAGCTCGGGGGGGGGGGGGGGGGGGGGGGGGGGCGAAGGGACTACCGGGGTCGAGGAGGCGCCCTCAGCGCTTGGACTCAGCTAAGATGGCGCGGGGAAGTGCCGGGAGCCGCCGCCGCCGCCTCGGGGGAACCGGCCCGGGCCTCGGCCGCCTCCCGTCCTCACACAGCCGAGGCCCTCTCGGTCCCCCGCCGCGGCCCCTCGGCGGGCGGGCCCACGCACAGACCTCAGCCACCACCACCCCTGGGAAGTGGGCGCTCACAAAGGGAAGAGAGGCCCCGGGCCGGCCGGCCGGCGGGGCGGGGTCCCCAGGGGCTGGAGGCCTCAGAGGTTCGCGGGTGCCTCGCGCTCTCGGCCCGCGAAGGGCGCAGGCAAGCAGGACCCCTCCTCTCTCCTTAGGCAGGCGGCGGCACCGACTCACTCTCTTTGCCACCCTCCCTCTCTCTCTCTCCGAGCCCTGAAGCCACAGAGCCCGGCCGCTGCCCAGATTCCCCCCCCCTTCCCAGACACCACTCCCCTCCTCCCGACAGTCATCCCAGTCTCCAATCTCGCGAGATTTCCCGCCTGACAGGCTCGACCCTGCGCGAGGCAAGACTGCGTACGCGTGCACGCCCTCACGGGAGCGCGCGAGTGCTTACACTGGGCGGAGTCTCCAGAATGGCCCAGAGTTCCGTCCTGTCTCCAGTCCGGCCTCGCTCACCTGGCGGAGCCGTTCTGCCACGTGGGCGTCAGGTACATTCATTTCACCCTGAAATCTAAGAAAGAAGCGTCAGGTGCATTCATTTCACCCTGAAATCTAAGAAAGAAGAGCTTATCTGCTCTTCTCCTTTGCTTTTCCCACTCCCAAAATATCCGTCCCCCCCAGAAAACCCTGCGAATGAGAAGCTTGCCCTGACATGTTGAATAGCCCCCTTCTTACACACCTTATTTCAATCCCTCCGTGGAATTCAGAGGTAAGCTGGTCAGCGTAATCAGTATGTAACTGAGTTTTTCAGATTCTAAACGTTTATAATAATTTTTGGAACTGTAACAAGAGTTGGAAATACAGAGCTAAACCATCCTATAGTTAGCGATGGTAGGAAAGGGACAAATTCTTGAAAAGTTTTTGTGGATTGAGTAGGTTGAGTAACAAGTGCAGTAAACAAACTAAAGAGTTCTAAGGGAAGAGGTAGTGCTTCTCATTTTTTTAAATGAAAAGCATTTTTTTAGGGGAAAACCCCTCCAGTGGGCCACAAAGAGAAATTTTATTCAAGAACCAAAAGGTATGCCTAAGGTGCAGTCATAAAAAATCTTGGTTCTTCAATCAGTAAAACAACTGAGATGAATAGATCTGTTGTGTGAGATTTGTGAGTGAAAATGTACACCAGAACAGTTGTTGGAAGTTACAATAAACTAGGAAAGTACATTGGCTGTGATCAGAAAAAACAAGCTCTCTGCTTCAGCCGGATGTACATGTAATTTGTTCTAAATGTTCCCTCTCCTAGTAAGGGTCCTTGCTTTGCAAGTCAGTCAGTCATTACTCTTTTCACCTATATCGTCAACCATTCTCAAACGGCAACTTCCCCTCAGCATTAAAAACAAAACAAATAAAACAAAATAAAATTTAAAAAAACAAGCCCAAGTTTCTCCTTCTCTGAGGGGAAAAGAAAGATTATGATCTTCACCTCTCCTGTCCTTCACAGACAAAGTCTTGGAAAATTTGTCTATCATCCCACCTCCACAGAAAATTAAGAATTTGATCTCGCCAAGGTCAAGAGTGTCCTCCTTAGTTATGTCTAGTGGAGTATTCATTTTAATCCCTTCCTTCTTGACATCTACAATACCTGACACAGTTGATACTCCTTCCATCTTGAAACTTGTGTTCCTCTTTGGCTTTTCAGCACCACTCAAAACCAGTTTTTCTTGTACCTTCCTGTCCCTGAAGCCCCTCATCCTCCACCCACTCCTTAAATATGCCCCTCCAGTCCTGATCCCATCTTCTGAAAGTGTTACAGCAAGAATGTTCTAGTTACTTCATACATTTGGGAATGGAAAGAGATTCATGCTTTCCCATAGTATTTGTTCTTAATCTTTTTATAGAAAATTTCACACATACAAAAAAAGGAGTCAGATAGAATAGTAAACCATGTGTCTATCATCCAGCTTCAGCTGTTATCACACTTTATCAATCTTGTTTCACCTATTCTCCCACAACCTTTCCCCTCACCCCATGTACTTTTAAGTAAATCTCTAATAAACCATCATAACATTTCACCTGTAAGTATGCACTTTAATACGTATCTCTAACAAATACTTTTGTTGTAACATAACCTTGATTTCATTATCACACCTTTACAATACTTCCTTAATATTATTTAATACCCAATCAGTGTTCAGTTTTTCCCAATAGTTTCCAAAATATCTTTTCATAGCACATTTATCTGAATCAGGGTCTGAACAAATTCTCCACTTTGCATTTGATTGATAAATATGTCTCTTAAGTCTCTTTTCATGTTCCCCTTCCTTTTTTCTTCCTTCCTTCCTTTTTTCTTTCTTTTTCATATGTAGTTTATTTGTTGAAGAAATCAGATTATATATCCTAAGAATTTTCCACATTCTGGACTTGGCCAGTTGCCTCCTCATGATGTCATTTCATATTTGCTTCAATGATTATATTTCTTATAAACTGGTAGTTAAATCTAAAGATTTGATGTTGTATGTGTGGTGTTTTTATAGTATTTTGTATCTGCCACTACCTCGTTCTCACACTTACCTCCACCTCTACCACAAATTGTAGTCCCCCCCGCCCCATTTCCTCAGCACATGGGGCATCTTAAGAGATTCTGGCTGTCTCATTATTATTATTATTATTCCAGATCTGTGCCTATGATCTGGTGCAAATAGGCCTCCCTCCTCAAATTCTTCAAATTTCACACACACACACCTACACATGGGCTTATCCCAATGTCAAATTTGTTCAACAGGAAAGTACTGTTAGTAGATACTGCAAAACATATCAGTTATTTAATTTTTAGAATTTATCAAAAAAAAGAAAATTATACTCATCGATGGTAGGAAAATAAGTCAATGCTTAGAATGGTTGCAGATCTTGCACTTTCTGTGGATTTAACTCCTGAACACTTCTTGGATTGGTCTCGTTCTTCATCCCCATTGCTTCTGCTGTGGTGGTTCATACCTCAGTTTCTCACCTGAGGTACTGTAATTGCCTTCCAACTACTCTCCTTGCTACCCCTCAGGATGCCCCATTCTCTGTCCTGAGCTAAATGGTTTTATTCTTCCTAAAGTGCAATTTCTAAAAGCTGAATGTTTAATTTCTCTGCTTAAAACTCTTGCATGACTCCCCAAAGCCTTCCGAATTAAATCCAAACAAAACCCCTGCATACCTCTCTAACCTTAGGATATTCCTACCATCCTGATATTATTCACTCTTCTGCTAACGGCTAATATGCTTCAAGTGTCACCTCCCTGAGAGGCCATCTCATATCTCAACTAGGTATTCTTTTGAGCCTATAAATTGGGGTCAGAAAGCTGTGGGAGATGAATGGGTACCAACCATGATTTGACCTTGACAGAAAAGTTACCCAAGCAGTGGCAAAACCAAGAATAAGTTCTTTCCAAACATTGTCTCATTTAATCCTCACAACAAACTTGTGATGTACTATTATTATTACCTCTGTTTTATAGGTAAGGAAACCAGGGTTCAGAGAGTTTATGTCACTTCCCCAAAATCAAAAAACTAATAAGTAAGTGGTGAGCTAGAATTTGAACCCAGTTGTGAATGAATCCAAAGCATGCTCTCTTTCTACCATATTATACTCCTGGTACCACCAACCGAGGATAGCTTGATGCCACGTACACATTTGGAGTGTTTAAGAGATGCCTGACCGTGTAATGTCAGTGTATTTGTTGTTGCACATGTATCTGTGTGCAAAAAGATAGCTTGTCAATGTGTGGGTGGGTACACTGACTGATACGATATCTAGCTAATGAAACTATCTGTTCAGTATTGTCACTCATTAAAAGACCAAGTCATGTTCAACTCAATTTAACAAATACTTGTTAAATTTGTTGACAGCTTGAAGTCTGGTGGTCATACCTCATTCAGATGTGTCTACAAAAGGCTGCCTGATAGAAGCATGGTTTCACAGACTGCAAAGTAACACTCATCATATACAGAGTTGGTTCTTGAGCTCTGCATCCCCGTATTTATCGGGTTCATTTTGTGAACCTTTTACAAATGCCACATTTGAAAATGCCCTGTATGTGGAGGCAGCAGATTATTCTATTTTAACCCACAGAAATAGACAAATGCTGGGCCAAGGTCCCCTAAGGATGGTAGAATACAATTCAGTTCAAGAAAGTCCTGTCCTAGAAACCTTTCAGTCTCATGTATCTATCAGATAAGCATCTGCAGCAAGCCATGAATAAATTAAAGCAGCCGCACCGGAGTCTAAAAGAAAGCCAGCCCTGAAGATATCAGGCAGTGGATGTGAAGGTAGTACAGTCGTAGTTAAAAACATTGACTGTGGAGTCCCACCTCCATCTCTTACTCCTGTCAGTGAGTATGTTACTTTGTGCCAGTTTCATAACCAGGCTGGGTGTTGCTTTCCTTATCTGTAAAATGGGGTTAACGTTACCTTCCTTACAGGGTTGTGTGAGGATTTAAATAAGATACCATGTAAAGTGCCTAACCCATGGGAAATGTTTTACAGTGTTAGCTGTTATTGTGTATGTGTCAGGAGGTAAATATCCATTGCACTGCTCTGACACTACCCTCTGGCAGGCACCCATGATCAGTGCATCACGACTGTCTGGGACATCTGTGAATGTGGCAAGGGTTGGGCAGCATGTCTGTGGACTGAGAGGTTTTTGGAATGTATCTTCTGGACCAATTGGTGATTTTGTCATGCCCGTGTCTTTGGCTGACATCTGCCACAATTGAAAACACAAATTCCTACCAGAGTTCTGATATGTAGGATATGAAACAAACAGCTGGCAATCAAAACTTAAAATAAGTTGTTATTTTATTGGCCTAGGATTGTCTTTGGGCCTCCTCTTTAGCCTTCTCTTTGCTAGGCAGTAATATGATACTGGTAAGAAGTCTTTGGTTGAAAGTGACAATTGAAATCACCTTACAGGGGAAAAAAAAAGGAAGTTTATTAAACCCTGTAACTGAAAAGTCCAGTGCTTTAGGAATTAAGAGAATTTTGTCAGGTGTTTGCCTCTTTTTGTTTCCCGTTTCAGTCTCTCCACGCACCATACCCAGCTCCCAATTGCTTGGCTATTTTTCTCCATAGATTGGATTTTGTTATAAGGTTGTCTGTGTTTGTATTGGAGTGGGGAATGCAACTGAGGATCCGGGTGCTTCCCACTGCTGTCATCTAGTTTAATATACCCCAACACTGAATGCTGCTATTAATACTGTCTATACACAGGAAACGAATCAAGGGCATTTCTAATATTGGTTTTAATCAGATGCTTCCTTTGCTGATATGACACTGTATTATGATCACTAGTGACAGGAGCCCCGTCCCAAAATTTAGGTTTATACAACCACTTAATCTCTCCTGCTATGTGACCTTTCCTGCATAACCTGCTCTCTCTCACCTGTTGCCCAAAACCCCCGAGCAGGGGACAGAGGTCTAGTCTAGTGATCAAATGGTACCATATAAATGGTTATCATGAAACTCATCCTTTATTTCTCCTCTTCACAAATGTTCTCAACACAAAAATATAACAATATTGTAAATGTAGAAATTGAAGTCATTTGGTACTTTGTGAGGACGAGCAGATCAGAATTTGGGTCTTATGGACCAGAGACAGTGTTTCCATGAGAGGTGCAAACAGGCTTCACATAGATCATATTAGATGAACTTCCATCTTAGTAGTTTATTCAGGTAGCAGAGGCATGGATGCTGGACTGAGGCAGGGGGCAGAGTGGAATGGGAGGAATGGCCGCAGAAGTCCAGATTTACAGTTCATCCCAGTTTAGTGACCCTAAAGGCAAAGGAAAGCTGCTCACTCTCACCTAACAGTATATAATATCCAAAGGAACATCTTTGAGTGGCCCAAATTGGACCCTGTGTTATATGCCCTTCTCTGGGCTAGTCATTTCACCAAGGGGTGAGCCATTTTGATTGCCCTAGCTAGGATTGTGTGTCCACTCTGTGGCAAGAGGCTCAGAGTAACAGTTCCACAAAACTACACAGAGTGATGGAGAGGAAATTCCTTAAAGGAATGTAGGGTACTTTCTGCCAGAAGATGAGGGAGAAATTCTGGACAGACAAAAACAACAGATGTTCACTACAAGAAGAATAGAACTGCTGGCAAGGCCAAATGATATGGTGTTGTGGGGATGCTAGTTAGAGTACAATATATTGGCACTTGCTGTGGCCAGGTAAAAGAAAGCAACTATCACCTGGACACAACAGAACTTTCATATCTATGACCTCTTTTGATCTTCACCATAACTCTGAGAAATGGTCAGGGCATACTTATTTTACAGAATGCACTTTTGAGAGTCAAGCAACAGAGAGAAGCACAGTGGAAAACATGTGGTTCACACGACAAGACCAGGTAGCTGGTATTTATGTATCTGGTATGTACGTCAGTTTGGGAGGCAGGTGCCTTCCCAGACATTCTTAGAACGTTAGACAATTCTGAAAGTATCTGGCATGTGCAGGAACCCAGAAAATGCCCAGCATCCAGGTACATAGTGCCAAGGTGACTGCAACTTCCTGGGAACTCTAGCACACATATGCATCTTTTCCTAGATTTCTCTATCACATTAACATTTATAGTTGCTATTCTTCCACATACTCCAGGATAACAGCCTTCATTCACTCACTTTACTTCCATCTCCCACATCTAACCCAATTTCTGACACACAGACAACCCACAATAAGTGTTTATGGAATAATGAATTGAAAGAT